TCTAGGTTCCCGCATATTGATAGAACAATTATATCAATGTACTCGAATTCGTCTTGAATATATATACCATGAGTTCGTCAATATTTTTTTTATGCTTTTAATATTAAAATGAAATATGCCAACTTTCTCAGTTTTTCCTGCGGCTTTATGGCTTTTCACATCCTTTTGCACATCTAGCACTTCTGACAATTCTAACATTGCAGTTTATTTTAAGTCAATTAGAAACAAAAAATGAAAGCTTTGTATCGGATGAATGAATTTGGGAGGAATAAATAGTAATGAAATACTGAAGTAATAACAATTCAAAATATCTAAGTTTAACTAGATTTTTTGATGAGGAAGTACATCTAGTAATCAAGAAAAAATTGTAATCTTACATTGTACTCGATAGAATCAAGTGAAGACTTTGTGAAAGTCGATCAGACAATCTTATTGTTGTGGTTGATATAGATTTTCCCAGTTTCGGTCCACACTTGATTCATGGATGTCCTTTCGATTGATTTCGTCATCAGTTCGACTCGCAATCTGGTTAAATCGTCCCTTATTATAACACCAGTCCCTTTCAAACATTTCTTTTTGTGATAGATCTGTTGTCGCATCTCATGACTTCGAAGTTTCAAAAGTATACCTGAATGTTTCCCGTTCTCATTTACTTTTCCTATGCGGTGACAGAATTCTATGTCTTCATCACTTAGCTTCGTGATTATCTTCGAAGTTAAAAGTTCAGTTACTTCTATTCTGGTATTTTCCTTATTTTTTTGTGGAAGGTTGGATATTCTTAGGTTGTTTTTTTTTACTTTCTTGTTCCATGTTTCTTGTTACCGTGTTAGGAATCACACGTGAAAAGGTAAGACCTCGTTAGTCCTTAGCTCNAATTTTGAAGCACGTTTTCTTAGCGAATTTAGCTATTTACTAGGAGCACTTCGACACACACTACTCACTGTCGAACATGAACATATAGTTTGAGTTTTTCCACTCTCCCTTTCAGTTTCCTGAGCTATTGTAAAATTGAGGTTTCTGGTATAGAATCTTGATTTTGTATATTATGTATTATTGTATTGGACGGGTATTTTGTAGACCTCCTTAATTTGTTCCTTCCGTTCTATGACAATGATAGCGAAAATCCAGAGCTCCTCAATAATATGCAAATTATTGAGGAAACAGACTTTAAAAATATGTTCAAATGCTGTAAAACTAAACAAGTATCAGTTGTGATATGTGTTGTGTGTGGAAACTTCTTTCATAAGAGCTGTATTGCAAGAAAACCATACAAAACAGTTGATGATTCTAAAATTGTGTGCTGTGAAAATGAAAGTAATTCATCAGAAGCTCCTACATTTAATTTCAATCCCGACTATTTGAAGACAGAAAATTTCTATTTGAAACAATTATTAAGGAAAATGAATGACAAGTTTGAAAATCTATCTGAAAACAAAACACGTTTGGAGGATAAAATTGACGTCTCAAACGAAACGAACAAAAAACTTGTCGCCGAGCTTCAAGTACATCAGACAAAAAATAAGCAACAGAACATTCCACATAGCAGTGAAGCTGGACCTACATATAAAAAAATGCAGGGTCAAAACAGAACAGTGGTTTCAACCACGAAAGAAGACTTCGAAAATGAAAGTAAAAATACAGATGGAACAGAAAAATCGAGAAATACAGAAATTGGACATGATAACACTGAACCAAATACTTCTAACTATCAATTACTGAAACATAAACAATCTACTGTTATGAATAAACTAATAAACATAGATGTTCAGCTAGTTCAATCAACAGAATCTCCCCAACCAAAAAGCTTATTCAGTGACATTCAAAATCGTAATTCATGAATGAATTGTGTGTATTTTCTATAATGTTATCCAATTTGGTACTGAAGAGCCTTAGGACAAGTGTCTTAAAATTCATTTCCTATGGTGCCAGTGAGTCATCCACGTACAAACATATTTTATTTGTTTCGTGAAAGTAGGATTGTCAATATGAATGAGGGCGGAGAAGAGACTGTAACTGAAGTTATAAACACGTTTGACATCGACCAAAACAAATTTATTCTGAAAACTAACATCGACAGAGATGTAGATATTACCGCAAAAAATTGGATTAAAAACTTTTCTAAATCTACTTGCACAGAGTGGATTGTAAACAGAACATATCCTAAAATAAAAAAAACTACAGTATCGAAAAGATTGGGTTTGTCAGCACAAAACTAAAAATAAGTAAAGAAAAACAAGCAGCATTAGGGAAAAAACAGGAACTGCGACGCCAAAATCTTCATTAAGGTTGAAAATGATAACAAATTTTCAAGATGCAGGGATCCCTTGCTCAAGAAGGGCCTAAACACCATTGTAGAAGTAAGCTTTTTTTGGAGAAATATTACAATATCAATTGCATTTTACGCATAGCCACAGAGTTACGGTGGAAGAAGCCTATAGCTGTCTGAAAGTAAGCTCGTCTACGAAAGATCAATTTTTAAAGTACTTCAGTAAAGGATCGACTCCTAGCGAAGCCAAAAATTTCCATAAGTCGACGCTAACGGCTACCATTTCAAGTTATAAAATATGTGAAACTTTTGTCAATGCCCAAGCAAATCCTATAGAACGCTCAATTCATCATTTGTATGAACAAAGGAGGTACGTAAACTGAGAGAAATTTTTTGCTACGATAGAGACATTTTTTTAAAGCAGCAAAACTGTTATAATAGCAAAGTGTTTTTTACTCACCAAAAACAGTTATTTAATAGTAGTAAGAAATTGTATAGTGCATTTTATGGTGCATTTATTCAAATTTATCAAATAATTGTTTAATAAATACTCATTACACAATGTACCCTACTATCAGAATGTATGTATATGAGAGATAAAGTTTGTTTGTATTACTGTTAGAAAAAACCTACCACCTACTACTACCACTATGACCTACTGTCAGGCATTTTGAGTTTCAATCACGCATTGTTGCGCTCACTGTCTAGGGAACGGAGAGCTTGGCGCGCAGTACCTTTCCTAGCTCGTCAACGGAACCAGTAGCGTTCACGGTGTAGGAAACGTAAAAATGCGGAACTGACATTCTGTCTATATACATATGAACTCATTGAATTGCATATTCGACTCAAAAAAATTATGATCACATAGTACATGGACAGGGTCATACTTGCTCTTTTTTTAACAAGACCAAAATTTTGTGGTCCTGATCATCTCAGATTATTTGTTTCATAGGAAGTTTGAGAGCATTTTTTAACAACAAATTCATAATATGTTTATAATTATATATTTTTGTTTCAGACGGTGCCTTACAAATTCTTTGTGAAGGCTGCTCACTTTCACTTCCTACATTATCACTGTCAGACATATTTTATTTTTGTTATTTTTAAAGCCTATATATTTAGTAAACCACAGGTTATGTATACTGTAGTATACACTATAGGTATCCGCGCTCAGTGTGGCGAGAGAGCGTAACGCCGAACCAGTGGGAAGAGAATCGCACAGTCGCTTGCGTATGCCATCCCGTTCCCACGGCTGTCGCCACGCCAGCAATGGGTGTTGGGTACGGCTGTAGATGTTTCACATCAAAAATCGGTGTATTCACTTCTGGCGCAGGCGAGAAGCTTATGAAAAACCTGAGTTAACTATTGAACGATTGCCAATGAAGTGAAGTTTTCAAGCCTAGTCTTTGACAAAAAACTGAACTGATATGATCAAATCAACTCACTCATTACAAGAAGTCGAAAAACATTAAATATTGAAAAGTGTGTGAGTAGTGTCAAATTGGGTGCACACACAAACATAATATTATTGATGTACAAAACTCTTGTACAATCCAAATTGGATAATGGGTGCATAGTATATTCTTCAGCTAGAGAATCCCAATTAAGCAAACTCAATTGATTTCACAACGCAACGAAAAACTCACTTGCTCAAAAAATAAGTGACGTTTTTCACTTTCTTGGCCAAAATGGAAAATAAAAAATTTTTTTTCTGGACACCAAGTCATGTTGTTGTTGGTATCAGAGCGAATGAAAAGGCAGACAAGGCTGCGAAATAGCTATTGGAAAACCTGAAAAAGAAAATATTCCAGTCAGTGTCTCGGATATCCGCATACATATATCCCATAAGCTCAACGAAAACTGGTAAAACCTCTGAAGAAATTCCAACTCAAAACTGTCCCAGATTAAAAATACATTTGAGAAGTGGAAATATTCTGACGATCTGAATCGCCACGACCAAGTTAACTCAGCCCGTCTAAGGATATGAAATACTAAATTAACAGCATATCTGCTCAAAGGTGAAGACCAACCTGCATGTGAGACACGTCATACACCATTATCCGTTGAGTATTAACTTGTCAGTTGTCCCAAGTCCCAAGTATAATAATGTCAGAGCCCAGTTGAACCTAGCAGATGACTTGTCAATAATTCTCTCCAACGACCATTTGGGCTACCGAAAAGTATTGAAATTTTGCGATGATACCTGAACGAATATGATCAGAAATTGAGAGATTCGCAGCGAAATGAACCCAGAAGTTAATGCCGACAAATTACAAATAAGAAAAACAATAGACCGTCGCGGGTTGTAGTTAAGGGTCGAATAGATCCACTCACTTTGGACTTTGCTACATCGTAGCATTGGTAACTATTCTCCCAGATGAATACGTCAAAATCAAGCACACAAATTACAAAGGCTATCGGCGATCGCGTACGGAAACGATGACGAATATACTGGAACGGACGCATTTTTACGTTTCCTACACCGTGAACGCTACTTATTGCGCTCACGAGCTAGGAAATGTAATAAGTGCCAAACACTCCGATACCTACACAGTGGGTGCAACGCCACGTGCGTTATTATTTCACGCGTTTTTTTGTACGCTGCAATCCACATACCATATTTATTCATTTCCTATGGTGCCAGTGAGTCATCCACGAACAAACATATTTTATTTGTTTTGTGGAAGTAGGATTGTCAATATGAATCAGGGCGGAGAAGAGACTGTAACTGAAGCTATAAACACGNAATTTATTTTGATGAAATTGGAAAATATTCATTTTCATTGAAATATATAATATTATGGAGCAAAGCAAAGTGCTACGAAGCTCGTGGCGACTTTAAAATTGCGGACAAATATTACGATGAAGCACTCAAATTATTGAGAGACAATAGCAATTTAACGGGAGACGAACTCCAGAATGAAATCAAAGCTATAAAATATTGTAAGAAAAATAAAACGGCTTCAACATCCAATACAGAAAGGATACGAGACACTGAGAAGTTCGAGGGAAGCAAAAAATATCCTTCCCTCAGTCCACTCGTTGATATACAATTTGATGATCGTTTAGGAAGATACGCAGTTGCTAAAGAAAATATTTCAGTGGGAACCCTAATTGTTAAAGAAGATCCCCATGTGGCTTTGCTAGACCAGGATCGTGATTTAACACACTGCCAAGTTTGTTTTACATATGTTGATCAACTTATCATCCCCTGTTCAACATGCGCAAATGTTGTCTACTGTAGCAATGACTGCAAGAAAAAAGCAGACGCATCTTTTCACAAAATTGAATGTCCAATTTATCCAACACTCAAGGGCAGTTTCGATAAACTAATGTGCTTGAGAATTCTCACTCAAAGAGGATATGCATTTTTTAATGAACAAAAAGATAACTTTTTGCGCAAGTTAGAATCGCATTACCAGGGTTTAACTAAAGAAGAAGTTTATCGTTCTGATGATTATAATAATATGCTATTCTTGTATCGAAATGTTAATCAAATATATAGTCAGCAGATATATGATCTTAATGCAGCAGTATACTTGCTGCGCGTCTTAAAAAAAACCGACTTTTTTCCTTTCAAAACACATGACGAAGTTCTACATGACAAAGAACTCTTCATCGGACTACTCATCCTCAGACATTGTCAATTGTTGACTTGTAACGTACATGAAATAGCTCAACTGAAATATCCTAATGACGACAGTCTCCTCAAAAGTGCTGTAGAGGAGGAAAACTTAATTGAATGTATTGGATCTGGATTATTTACTACTTTAGCATTTTTCAATCATTCATGTGATTCAAGTATCATCCGGTGAGTCCCTTCAAAAATTCCCTAATAAAATGGGGTGAAAAGTATGAAAGCATTTAACATCAAAGTATGGGAACACTGAAATAATTTTCTTCAAGAAAATCATTTCAGAGAAAAAGTTTCAGAAGAAAGGTCAAGTATTTATCCCTGGCTATTCAATGGTGTAATAAGATTTGTTCTTGTTCATTACCTCGATACCTCATTACCTCATAATCGTGGAGGCGTACATTTTTCTACTCTTATAAAATCCGCGATGAAAATATGGGCTTCTTTTTAAAAATGACCTTGACATAACAACTGAGGAAATGGTCAAGGTCATACATGTACGAACTTTTTTCTGATTTCTTTTTCTGAAATACACTTCAGACTTTAGGGACTCCTGATATAGTGCATATGTCCTCTAAACATCGAAACCAGTTTATTAACGCATACTGAAGAATTTTTCAGGTCACCCATGTACTATTTCCCCACATTGTTGAAAAAAGTACCATTTTTGAATATTTACTGTTTTGTTATGGAAATGCAGTGACATTTTTACCCAGGCTCTCATAAATTCGTGTGGGTGCGTGTGTGTTTAATTCTTTTTAAACAAATTGTTTTTGTTTTTCAAAATATTCGGCTTTTTTAACAGCGATACACTTTTACATGTGTTTGAAGCAATACTTGAAAGATTTTTTCCATTATGAAGTTGATATCTCAAAAAGATTGATGTGACAGAACGATTTAACGTTTTGAGTTTTTTTCACTAATTACGCCAAAGATGTATATCAAACAAACTGTCCTTTCAGTAGCAATATGTGTTTTGTATTTCGCTTATGCTTTTGAATCAGTATTAAGACTTTTGTTTTTTCCTTTGTCTTATTCAATTGAAATTGGCACTACCTGTTAAATTCAAGTTCAAAAGCATAGGTTCACACTCCACACAAGGTATTTTGAGTTTCCATCGAAAACTGAACACGTTTCGGGTAACATTTGAGTAGATCATTTATAATGTTGTCGTCGTGAGGAATAGCATACATGAGTTGTAGTAGGGAAGCAAATTATTGGTCAAAATTCTCGTGGAAATTTTCACCATTTTAGATCATTACGGATTACATGTTTATACAATAGGCTCATTTAATTTTTTTTCATCCCCAAAATGAAATCGCACCGGAACTATGACTAAAATTTCTCTGAGTAAATCTGATGCTTCGGAAAACAGTCTCAAAAAATAGATTCAGAAAAACGGGACATGACTTCATCACATATACAAAAGACCATTCACCGCTTACACATTTATGTGTAAGCGGTGTTGAAGTTCAACTATTTTTTTGGTTGCTTGTATTCATCTGGCTACATTGTGAAAGTATGGTGGATACAAAAGTCCCCAATACTCTAACAAAGATCGAACCGTGTTTAAACGATGTATCGAGGAGAGATACATACGTACTAGAAAATGAATATTTCGAAATGAAATCTCGAAAGATTCATCTCTCCCAACTACCAACACTGTAGGTTCTGGTGAATGCTTGCCGGAAAACAACTACTTCCCCAGCTAATAACACGCTGGATATTGGATTATATCGAGGAGAGATACATACGTACTAGAAAATAAAAATAATTATTTCGAAATAAAATCCCGAAATATTCATATCCCCTAACTACCTACTTTTGACTGAACAACCCTATTGAACACTTTGTTTGAAGGTGGTTGACAATGTTTCGTGGTGCATTTCATAAGTTCGGACTTCCATAGTCTAATATGATATAAATTGATTTGATCTATGAAAATTAAAAACATTAACTGAAAAATTATTATATTAAGCAAAAAAAACTGAAATTACAATGAAATAAAATACAAGCAACAATCAATAAATCAAAAAATTCTACTATTAACGCGAAATGAAAAATGCAAAATCATTAATAAGAAATGAAAATTAAAAGTTTCTAACCCAAGGTACTTCACGATGTTTCGATTGTTAGTATCCACAATCGTCTTCGGTTGGTAACTCGACTTATTCCTCCAAGATCTGACTATTTATAGGTCATTCGAGTGCTTTCACCTATCCCCTCTTCCCTCTCTCCGCTTCATCGGTTTTAGCGGGAGCTGACCGTGTGACTGGTCGTGTTCCGCTTGAATATAGGTTTCCATATGTTGTGTATCTCTACACTAGCTTGGCTAAATGCGTTGTTGGACAAGATATATACGGTTTGTTTGAAGGTGATTGACAATGTTTCGTGATGAATTTCACTAGTTCGGACTTCCATTGTCTATTATATAAAATGATTTGAAATCCCTGAAACAAGTAAAAAAGAATAATTAAAAAAGAATAGTTGAAAAGTGTAGAGATTCCAAGTCACGTTAGTTCACGACGTTTCGATTGTTGGTATCTACAATCGTCTTCGGGTGATGACTTTTTTACTTGTTTCAGGGATTTCAAATCATTTTATATAATAGACAATGGAAGTCCGAACTAGTGAAATTCAAGATATATACGGCTTCTTTGAATTTTATCCTAAACCAGTGTTCCCCTTGTGGATGAGTTCAGCTTGAGACTACTTAATGTTATGTTGATCTGTTCAAAATCTGTTTCTGTTTAAGATCTGTTTTTCCATCAACCAGCTGTCGCACCCCTACGAACGACAACCCTCAGAAGTCGAAACTTGTGCGAGCTAATGATTAACGAGGTCTTACCTTTTAACGTGTGATCCCTAACACGAACTTTTAATGGCCTTTTATTGTCACCGACGTATGATTCTCCGCACTCGCAGGGTATCCGGTAAATGTAATTCTTGGAATCGCAGTCCGCATTTGGTGGCCTGGTTTTCGTGAGGCTGCTACGGATAGTGTTCCCAGAGCTGAAGCAGGTTCTGATGGTATACTTGGACCCAATTCTTTTTATCCTTTCCGACAATCCTCTGATGTAGGGAAGACTCTTGCTGACTTCTAGACAACGTCTGTTCCACCATCACTTTGGAGTAATCATTCCGTTGAAGGTCATTTTTGATGATGCCCAGCTCCATTTCGAGTTCTTCCTTTGTATAACAGAGCCCGAAAGCACGGTCTACTAGAGTCCTGATGATTCCTCTCTTAGTTGATTGATGGTAGCTTAGAATCTCTTAATTTTAATTTTCATTTTTTGTTAATAGTTTTTAACTTTCATCTCTCATAGTTCAATTTTTTTATTGTTGCTTGAATTTTATTTCATTGTAATTTCAGTTTTTTTGCTTAATATGATTGTTATTTTTTCGGCTAATCTTTTTAATTTTTATAGATTTTTTTTAGTGATTTCAAATCAATTTATACCAGATTAGACAATGGAAATACGAACTAATGAAAAGCCTATTGAACACGTCATGCAACGTCTATTGAATGTTACAGGTACAGTGATAAAACAAGAATGTTAGTGAGAACCGTAAAGCCAATAAGAGCTGGAGAGATAATTTATGATAATTATGGCCCGAACTACTTATTCATGGAATTAGAAGATAGGCAGGAACGTTTAAGGGAGAACTACTTTTTTCAATGCACGTGTCCACCATGCGTAGAGAAATGGCCTATGGCTGCAAGTTTGCAAACAGTTGTAAAAGTTCCTTGCAAAACTTCCACTTGTGATTTCGTGTTTTCTGTAAAACGAAATAGAAGACTACAGATTTGTTTTCGTTGCCGAAAAGAACCACCTATCGCTGAAATTCAGGAAATCACCGAGGTAATATAAACACTTTTTAAGTTCACGACGTTGGAAAATATTCGAATTTTTGGTAGTTGCAATCAAAGCCGGATTTAGGAGAGGGCAGGTGGGACTATTGCCACGGGGCCTCCACAGGAGAGGGGCCTCCACAATATGTTGGAAAATCTGTTTATCCGTTAACCAACTGTCGCTAACTGTACTAACGAGGTCTTATCTTTAAACGTATGAATCCTATCATGGGTTGGACACAGCGGTCAACTGGTTAAGTTGAGCAAACCTACCACATCAACCCGATCGGCTACTGCTTCACCATAAAGACAAATAAATATCCAAATTTTGACGAGTCAGCAACTTTTACGTATTTCCTCTCAAACATTTGTTTGCATTTTTACTAAGAATACTTGCATAAACATAATGATATTGTTGTCGGTATATCAGAAAGCCATTTAATTTCCATTTAATTTCTTTCTTTGATTTGATCGAGCATTTCAGTGGCAATACTTTTTTCAATGTGTAATTTATAATTTGTACCCATGAATTGGAGAGAAATAAAATAAGTAAAAAAAAGTTCGAAAATCGGTTGACCCTGCAGGGCATCCTTACATCTTTTCGTTTTTTCGAGCTCAAAATTTCAAAAATTATTTGACGAAATCACTCGAATGGAAATTTTAAAACAACACTATCTATTGAACGCGTTCGTTTTCGCCCGATTTTCCTTTTATGAAAATTTTTAATTTTCTCATCGGGAAGCTAATTCAACTTTTAACAAAAAAATAAATAAAGTAGCCTCCACTCCTTCGTTGCCCCAGGGCCTCCAGACTTTCTAATCCGGCTCTGGTTGAAACATTCAGTTCTTCTTTTGAATTACCATGTTTGCTATGTTTGTCACTATGTTGTGAGTAAGAGTGTAATTTCCTACAGACTAGAAAAGTGAAAGTTTGAGTATCAATATGTAGTACAGAATTTTATTCGTTGAAATTATTTATTTATTCAATAATGTCTCATAACGCATTCTCAAACATTTCACATTTCAAAATATATTACTAACATGTCATCTCATGAAAATAATTATAGCAAGTTTTAACAAACTTGAAACGAACCAGATATTTTCAAATAAGTAATTTAGAATGTGTATTTATTTAACAAACATTTTTAATAATTTCTATAAATGTCTATATATCTTCACCCGGTTATATTATGTTTCTTACTCTTTACTTGTTTCGAGAAAAACAAGTTTGAAGTTCGAACTTCGATATTTGAAAGAATTTCAAAAGAATTGGTGCATTATTGTCCATTTGAGTGTACATGCAGAAAAAAATGTAATCAATTAATTCCATCTCATTTTGTTACCTCTTGTTGTTGTTTCAAAAATTATTTTTGAATATCGAACAGAACAATTTACTGGACTCATTTATCAGTTTTGACAATATTAGAACACTAGTCACAAAAGATGGGAGCAAAATAAAACTAAGCATTGATTCATAACTGAACTGTGAAACTTGCATTTCAATAATATTCATTTTCAATTTCAATTTGAACAGTTTCAAAATTCGTTTAAACTGTTCGTTGTTGAGTAATGTAATTAACTTTCGGTTTCCAAAAATTTCCAATAATTTTCTCCTTTTGTTATTCGTGTATTGCATTCAAAATTACAAGATCAATTACAAGAGTTTTTTCAATTTTGTTTTTTCATACTGCTGGTATATTTTTTTGAATTTTCAATAAGTAATTTTCTAAGTTTTTCCATTACATTCATAATTTTTGTAACATACTGTATCGATTTCAATATGTTGGAATGAAAATTATGTTACATATAGAATAATGTAATCGAGACAAATTTGACAGTTCATAGGGACACTGAAGAATATTTTATTGAATGTGATATAGTATGATATAACACTAGACGATATGTATCTTCATGTTGTCAAACATTTTGGTGAAGAATATCTTGTAGATATCGTCCAAAAATATAGCTTGTATTTCTGTAGAAAGTTTGACGCTACTAATTTCTCCATCATATTTGTTAAATTTGTTTCTGCGTTGGGATGCGACCCCGTAAACTGCATGAATCATTATATTTTATGTATAACATTCATGTGTATAAGCAATTAATTTTGAACTGCTACAAACACTGTAAAACTCTGAACGCTACCTATTCAACTGTTTCATCGTTTTTATGCATTGAGAAATAATTATATTTATTTTCAGGCCATCAACCATTATTATGAAGATGCAGAAAAGTTGTTTCAAGATAAAAAATTTGATGATGCATTGAAAGCTTATAAAACCGTGTTAGACATGAAGTATGCCCATACTAATCGCCCAGATCTTGATATAATAAATGCTCAAGAACGTATAAAGTATATTTTCTATATGAAGGGAAACCTTGTCAATTGCCAATAAATTTTAATTTCTGTTACGATTCTGAAACGCTTACTAGTTTTTGTTTATTCGTTACTTATGTTTCACGTTTATTCGTTTATAAATAGTGTCGTTATATTTGTTTGTATAAAAATGAGCCAGTCTAGTGTATTAGATTTTCATCACATTTCCTAGAAAATATTCATTACTGTTTCTTGATCTGTATTTTATGAAAAATTCCCAATAAAAATTACCAAAACACCCACTGTTGAATTTTACTGAACTTGGAAGAAAATAGTATTCGAAAAAAGGTTCAAATAATTTCTTTACAAAATTGTGTAATTCAGTGTTCATGTGAGAGTAATTGTTTTGGGAGGGGCCTTTCATTTCAGTTTGTAACTGAAAGTAACTTTTATGCATGATCTACACATCTTTGTGAAGAATTCATATTGAAATTCATTTTTTTCTTTCCTTTGGAATTTGACCACAGTTTTTTGTATAGCGATGGAATAGTGAAAGCCAAAAACCTTTCATTCTCATAACAATATACCGAAAAGAGAAAAAAACAAACTTATGTAAACTTTAGGGTTTATTTTTTACAATGAAATGAAATTTCTTTCTATTTATAACCTCAAAAATGCAACATTTTGAATAATGAAAAAGTAAAAATGGTGAAATCAAGTTGCCGATGTATTCGTAAAAATGATTGTATGGAGAACTTCATTTTACCATCTTTATTTACCATTAAGTAATGCTGAATTTCTTTTTTTGTATAATCCTCAGAGCAAGTTTGACTCTGGGGTATGTATAAAGACATGAAGACTAATTAGGGTTATGTTCTTCCAAAACCTGGGAATATCGGACAGGGCTCTGTGTAGGCCTTGTAACCAATCCATCTCATGTCTTTTGCAGTTAAGACATAAGAAAAACTACTTGATAGGCATATCAGGGATATGGCACTGATTAACAGACAACTGCATCGAAACCAATATGCGGTATGCCTATTAAATAGACTTAAATGGACCTATAGTTCTAAAGTTTCGAGATGAAGATGATGAAAAGTCATTTTCTGAAGTCAACTTGTTTGGTGAAACGCGTATTGAAAAGAGTAATCCATTTCTGGTGATTGGGAAAAGTGCTCGCTTTTATACGAAGACCTCAACTGCAGGTAACGCAGGGACAGAAACATCTTGTCTTATTTTATGTGAATGTGGTGCACTGGATCACAGAAGGCGAACAATTCATGGACAATCCAAATTGTGTCCAGAAGAATATGACATACATCCAGCAAGAGACCTGTACAAACTAGTTTAGGGCACAAGATTGTTAGAAGGGGTATCATGAAGATGGGAGAAAAACGCAATAGGCCCATGAGGCTTCAATGTTTCCCAAAGACTTGGGAGACGATTAGTAAAATAAATGCTCATTTTCATTCAATGAAACAACACAAACTTTCGAATTTTTCCAACTTATATGTCTGACAATACAGAACAATTTTCTGGAATCAGATCTAAAGGTACTAAAAAGGGTTAATAATTTTCTGATTGATTCGGCCGTTACTTGATGAAGATCCATAGTAATTTCAAATCAAAAATTATACAGATGTAGTTTTTGGAGTTAATAATTGTTTGAGAAACTATAATGGAAATGTAGTTAAAAACTCATCAGCTGTCTCTAACGGAACCTTTGAGTCACCGGGCACCCTCTCGTCGTAGCAACGACTTGTCACGGTGATTCCTCCCCTCCACCATTTCATGATCTGACCTTGAAGTTGAGTTTAATCATCAACTTGACTACGTGGTCATTTTCTGTCGATGTCCTGCTATACTGGTTTGTGAGTCCCCAAATATTACATAATGCACACATTTTTTGTAGATACACACGCATGCTTCACACCATACATGCTTATGCTTATGTTGAAGTATTTTTCTCGAGAGAATTTATTATATGAAGCTGCGATGATTCTGCAACCGTGTTAGGAATCACATGTTAAAAGGTAAGACCTCGTTAGTCCTCAGCTCGCACAAGTTTCTCAACTTCTGAGAGTTGTCGTTCGTATAGGGGTGACAGCTGATTAACGAAAAAACAGATTTCAAACAGAAACAGAACAGTATGATGTATCCATCAGAAGTGTAATACTAGGAGTTTGATACAAACTAGCATTCTATTCCAATACATGAGTTGGATTCGACCTGATATCGATACTTACGATCAGTGTAGGCTAAAGAAGGCGAAAACAAGTATCTCAAAGAATTTTTCAGTTCAATTTATTCAATATGAAGTTTTCGCATATTGGTTTCTCTATTCTTCCAATCAGTATAACATTCACTTGCTGCATGATAAAGATACAGTAATGCAACTTGTCGCTATCGAATTGGGTACTGTAATAGCGCGATAAACATTTTTGTCAACATTTTTACTGTTGTTCCTGTGAATATAGTGTTTCAGACTGATATATCACCATAGAAATTCATTTTTCTGATATAGTATGATTCCATAAGACATGTGTCTCAATAGCAGATTTCATTCATATTTGGTCACATTACTTCTAACGTAAAGTTTTCCCCGCTAGGTAGTGCTGTTTCTAACTTACTGTTAGAGTAATATTTTCTGGCGCTCCATTTCGGTCATTCAATTATTGTTGAACCTGCTTCTGCAATTTTGAAAAATGGTTGCTGATGTGATGAAATATATCGCATCTATCTTGAGCCTCATAAAAGATGAATACAAGGAGAAAACAGTGAAGGATGGAAGAGTGTTATAAGGTTTCTGAACGAATAAAAAAAGATCTTAAAAATACTACTACTATGGGTGGGAAACAAAATCTACTAGCATTCTTGGTCAATATTACAACACTATGTAATCAGATGAAATTTGAGATGAAGAAAGGATCAGGTCTGATTAGCCGGAGACAGCCTCTAATCGAGTACATTGGGATGATTCAGAATCGGATTTCAATTCGTGTTCCGGACTGAAGTGATTAGTAATCTCAAGCATAAGAACCCTACCTCATTTTTGATCGACTATAAGACCCTTTTTGTGAGAAGAATTCAAAAGGCATTGAAAAAGGATGCATCTTCAAAGATTAATATGACATTCAGTGATATGTATCCAGTTCCCCATGGACAACATTCAGATCACATCCTATCTTATCTTGACTATTCAAAAGTTCTGAAGTTGTAAGGTATTCACTTTCCAATGATAATTATTCAGATACATAGTTTCGAAGAGCAGAATGATCTCTCAGTCAATGTTTACACTTCGAAACTTTTTAAATCCAAGTATACTGTGATACCACTAAGATTGAGCATAGCAAAAAATAAAAGCAAACATGTGAATCTACTCATGATTCAAGACATGTATTACGATGAAAGATGTGAGGATTCAATTAATGTCTATGATGTTACGTCACCAACCAGAAAACACTTCATTTGGATAAAAGATCTATCTAGTTTGGTGAGTAATATGTGATATGAGATTTGGAAAATCTGATAGATATGATACTATCGTATCCAGTGAAAAACTCATGAATCTGAATGAGGTAAAAAATCTAAAGTGGATCTTCCTACCAGAAATATTTTTAGTGAAGGAGATATACTTTTCCTTTGTTATCGGCCAAACGGACACTTCCATTGAGATCCAATGCAATATTTTCTATAACAAAATGTGCATCATACCCAGATAAGTTATGAAACACGATGGGAATTGTTTATTCACCTTGATAGTTTATAATGCACTCATTGTGTGATGGCCCTCGATTGATTATTTTTAGGTATTAGACGATTATGGTCGCATACTATTTTGTCTGATATATTGAATGGTTTGTCACATATATGACAATGAGTTGCTGCCTGAAAAAATGTTTCCTGGCTGGCCGATATATCTGACCTATATCGTCGGCAAACCATTTCATACAATTTTCACCACGAAATGATCGATAAAATGATAGTGTATCATCATAAGAGCGATTCACATAATATCCAAAAGATGCCGGAATGTGTCGTTGATATTTATTGCCATCTTGTGCAGATACCAATACACTCAGCATATGTGACGAAAGGCGATGTGATTTTATTTTTGAAATTTTTGAACCTCAAAATATGTTTTCCCTCCATAGGTAATTTTGGTAGGCATTCCTTTGTCTTCGAGCAGTCTTCAAGGTGTTTATCTAACTTAGCTTGCGTGGAAAAACAGTGAAAACACCTATGACAAAAATATTTTTTTCCATTATGGTTGTCGAGTTGATTACTCACCAAACTAGATAGATCTTCCATCCAATCAAAGTGTTTTCTGGTTGGTGACGTAACGTCATAGATTTATTGAATCCTCACATCTTTCATCGTAATACATGTCATGAATCATGAGTAGATTCACATGTTTGCTTTTTTTTTGCTATGCTCAATCTTAGCGGTATTACAGTATACTTGGATTTAAAAAGTTTCAACGTGTAAACATTGACTGAGAGATCATTCTGCTCTTCGAAACTATTTATCCGAATAATTATCATTGAAAAGTGAATACCTTACAACTTCAGAACTTTTGAATAGTCAGGATACGATAGGATGTGATCTGAATGTTGTCCATGGGGAACTGGATACAACGCCGAAACAATGGCCCAAACGAAGCAGGCATTATCAAGATTTTTCGTTTGATTTGAGAAGGCAGTTCAATGTATGATGAACCTCTGTGTGGCACAAGTTTGTTTACGTTAACCCCCCAAATCCACTACTGCTTTTAACGTCTAACCTCTGTCACGTTCCTGAAACTCTTCTAACTTTATCATGATTGGCTCCATAACATGTTCCTCAAACCACATATTCATATCAGTGCTACTATGGATGGATGCGTTAGATATTGTGAAATACTTATATTTGTTGAAGATTCGATCGCCTTTGACAACCTCAAATTCTCCACCGAATGTCATATTAACCTTTGAAAATGCATCCTTTTTCAATGCCTTTTGAATTTGTCTCACAAAAAGGGTCTTACAGTCGATCAAAAATGAGGTAGGGTTCTTATACTTGAGATTACTAATCACTTCCGTCCGGATGCGCGAATTGAAAGGCGATTCTGAATCATCCCAATATACTCGATTAGAGGCTGTCTCTTTCCGGCTAATCAGGCCTGCTCCTTTTTTCATCTCAAATTTCATCTGATTACATAGTGTTGTAATATTGACCAAGAATGCTAGTAGATTTTGTTTCCCACCCATAGTAGTAGTATTTTTCAGACCTTTTTTTATTCGTTC